TTACTCACCCTCATGTCGTTCCAAACCTGTACTCAACAATTCGTCGTCTCCGCATCACCCTATAGCGCCATTTGGGAGAGTATCACATATGTAAACAAAGTATGCAAAGTATGTACGCGGATACGTTGTTTACGTTCAGATCAAAGCGTAAACAATGTAAACAACGTATCCACGTACATACGTTGCATACGTTGTTTACATTGCATATGTTGTTTCAAAATGGCGCTTCAGGGTGACGTGGAGTTGAATTGTTGAATAAAGTTGTTATTTTTGTTTTCTTGAACGAAGGTCTTACAGGTTTGGAACGACATGAGGGTGAGTAATTAATGACAGAATTTTCATTTTTGGGTGAACTATCCCTTTAATAAAATGTTCCTCCACACACACACCAGGTATGACATAAGGGTAAATGACAGAATTGTAATTTTTGGGTTTAATTGTCCATTAAGGTAAGCATTTACATACATTTGATACAATCTGAAAAGAAAAACAAACCATTTATGGCTCTTTTTGGCATTATATTACATATGTAGGCTTTAATTTAAAGTTTTTTTTTATTTGCTGATAATGGGATTACAGAGAATCTTTCTGCACTGATTTTGTTCCATCAAACAAGGTCATTAACTAAGACACCAATACAGTAAACATTCTTGCAGGCCAAAATGAAATCATCCATCCAACAAACACAGAGGCTATTTGGCCACCGAAATGAAATCAGACATTTGCAAAAAAAAAATTCTCTTGAACCAAGGATCTGTAGTGATGGGTGGTATGACCAAAAATTTCAAAATTATATCGGTTTCACGGTATATGACGGTATTTATTTTTTATTTTTTTCATGCATGACCGGGTGTAAACCACATTTTCTACTGATTGAGAGAGGAAATAGGCTACTGCAGTAGATTGACTAAGAATGCCCTATTTTACTGTCATGATGAGTGAATATTGTAGAAAAATTCCACTCTAAATAGTGACGAAACATGACCCATTTATACATGTTAACCAGGAGTCACTCTCATTTATAATCGCGACTTCGTCTGATAAAATCAACATGCATGTACAGTAGATGCATGTTGAGCGGCTATGCAGTGGTTTTGGCTATATTACTTTTTTGTCTCATGCAGCGCACTGCCTGTGTCTGAGTAACAAAAAAAATAAAAAAATTAATAAAAGTTTTTGCACACGCCGAGAGAGACGACACTGCGCCGGGAGAGTCAGACCTCGCGCTCGCGTGGCAGCACTGGCGACATCTTCCAACTGAATCATAGCTAAGGTTTATCCAAAAAAAAGTCGCTAGGTTTGTCAGTATATATAATCTATGGGAAAAAGCCGCTAAAAGGGTCTGAAAGTTGCTACATCTAGTGCTAAAGTCGCGCTCGTGTGTGTGTGTGAGACGCGGGAGCTGATGGCAGGGGCGGTG